GTGATGAGGACTCGAACCTATGCGGTGGGTAGTTACACGCACACGTCCCAAATTTTCTCATTGATACATCACGTTAGTGTGATTACGCTCCGCATATGAACTACTGTTGAAAGCCTACTGGCCCATATGCCATTTTCAGCCTTAGAGGATGAGAGCTGTTTGCAAGAGACTGTTCTCATGCTGGGTTAAGGGATGAGGGCGCTGCAGCTGTCGGCGTACAAGCAAAGCTCGGCCAACAGTTCAGTTCAACAAAAAAAAAAAGAATGAGCATTTTGGTCGTTGGTAATTCCCAGGTTACATATATAGATAGGATTTTACTGTTTTATTGCTGGGATGAATTGGATGAGGGTGTCTTTTTTTGGCTGGGATAGTAGTCATTGTTAATAAAAGTTGCAAATATTTCCTCTTGTGTTATCCCCACAGACCCAAATCAGATGCTACAATTAACAATTGACTACAAAAACAAGAAGGTCGCCAACCTATTTACGAAGAACTCTCCAGACACCAATTAAAACTCCTAAAAAGAGACCAACTTCGTCGATGTCTTCACATGCATATATATGTATGCATATATATATATATATATATATATATATATATATATATATATATATATATATATATATATATATATATATATATATATATGTGTGTGTATATCACGAAAATAAACACGTGATTAAGAATGTGACAATGTCAGACCACGGAGGAAAAATGAAACAGGAAATTTCCTTAAGTACTTTCGTATATTAAATACATCTTCAGAAGGTCTTCTGAAGATGTATTTATTATACGAAAGTACTTAAGGAAATTTCCTGTTTCATTTTTCCTCCGTGGTCTGACATTGTCATATATATATATATATATATATATATATATATATATATATATATATATATATATATATATATATATATATATATATATATATATATATATATAATAAGCCGAGTTTTCATGAATTAATATATTTTCTCTAATTTTTTTCTTATGAAATGATAAGGCTACACATTTCTTTATGTATGAGGTCAATTTTTTTTATTGGAGTTGAAATTAACGCAGATATATGACCGAACCTAACCAACCCTACCTAACCTAACCTATCTTTATAGGTTAGGTAAGGTTAGGTAGCTGAAAAAGTTAGGTTAGGTTAGGTTAGGTAGGTTAGGTAGTCGAAAAAACAATAATTCATGAAAACTTGGTTTATTAGGCAAATCGGGTCATGCATAGTAGGATGAGAAGTGCGTTCTGGCTACTACGTACGACATATATATATATATATATATATATATATATATATATATATATATATATATATATATATATATATATATATATATATATATATAATTTTTGTTTTATAATGATAAAAAAATAAAAAAAGGGAAGGGAGTACCACCTCTGTCTGGAAGAAGGGGGACCCATAGCCTCGGAGGCAACCACACATAACGCATTGGAGGGAATGTAGGTCCCCTCCAATACAGTTTCAGTGTGCTTTTCTCCTACCACCCCTTTCCCTTTTTTTTTCCTTTATTGTGTATTTAAAGGTTACAAAACATACAAGACAAATGCCTAAAGGTTATGGATCTCTTGAAGCTCCTCCACTTCTGGACAGTAACCGAGGACGCAGCAAGCATTTCCCCTCTGGATCGCCACACTGAGACGCTGAAACAAAAAACTGGAAGCCCTTGGGTCTCTGGTGACGTCAATGAGCTTGGAACCCAATTCCTTGAGAAATCCCAAGGCACTCTTGCCCCAGGGGGCCATGCGTCTCAGACGCTATGGGAACAAAGATATATATATATATATATATATATATATATATATATATATATATATATATATATATATATATATATATATATATATATATATATATATATATATATATATATATATATATATATATATATATATATATATATATATCTTACGGCCCATTGGCCCATCATCACTGATGGGCCAATGGGCCGTCTGCGTTGTCCAAGTATTGTACCTCACCTTACTTCACCACTCTTTCCTGCCTATTTATACCCATCACTCGATCTGTAAAATCATTCCTTCTGAAGATGTATTTAATATACGAAAGTACTTAAGGAAATTCCTGTTTCATTTTCCTCCGTGGTCTGACATTGTCATATATATATATATATATATATATATATATATATATATATATATATATATATATATATATATATATATATATATATATATATATATATATATATATATATATATATATATAAGCCAAGTATATATATATATATATATAAGCCAAGTATATATATATATATATATATATATATATATATATATATATATATATATATATATATATATATATATATATATATACTTGGCTTATATATATATATATATATATATATATACTTGGCTTATATATATATATATATATATATATATATATATATATATATATATATATATGTCGTACCTAGTAGCCAGAACGCACTTCTCAGCCTACTATGCAAGGCCCGATTTGCCTAATAAGCCAAGTTTTCATGAATTAATTGTTTTTCGACTACCTAACCTACCTAACCTAACCTAACCTAACTTTTTCGGCTACCTAACCTAACCTAACCTATAAAGATAGGTTAGGTTAGGTTAGGTAGGGTTGGTTAGGTTCGGTCATATAACTACGTTAATTTTAACTCCAATAAAAAAAAATTGACCTCATACATAATGAAATGGGTAGTTTTATCATTTCATAAGAAAAAAATTAGAGAAAATATATTAATTCAGGAAAACTTGGCTTATTAGGCAAATCGGGCTTTGCATATTCGGCCGAGTACGACGTTCTGGCTACTAGGTACGACATATATATATATATATATATATATACTTGGCTTATATATATATATATACTTGGCTTATATATATATATATATATATATATACTTGGCTTATATATATATATACTTGGCTTATATATATATATATATATATATATATATATATATATATATATATATATATATATATATATATATATATATATATATACTTGGCTTATATATATATATATATATATATATATATATATATATATATATATATATATATATATATATATATATATATATATATATATATATATATGTCGTACCTAGTAGCCAGAACTCACTTCTCAGCCTACTATTCAAGGCCCGATTTGCCTAATAAGCCAAGTTTTCCTGAATTAATATATTTACTATAATATTTTTCTTATGAAATGATAAAGCAACCCTTTTCTCTATGTATGAGGTCAATTTTTTTTTATTGGAGTTAAAATTAACGTAGATATATGACCGAACCTAACCAACCCTACCTAACCTAACCTAACCTATATTTATAGGTAAGGTTAGGTTAGGTAGCCAAAAAAAGCTAGGTTAGGTTAGGTTAGGTAGGTTAGGTAGACGAAAAAACATTAATTCATGAAAACTTGGCTTATTAGGCAAATCGGGCCTTGAATAGTAGGCTGAGAATTGCGTTCTGGCTATTAGGTACGACATATATATATATATATATATATATATGTCGTACCTAGTAGCCAGAACACACTTCTCAGCCTACTATGCAAGGCCCGATTTGCCTAATAAGCCAAGTTTTCAAGAAATAATTGTTTTTCGACTACCTAACCTACCTAACCTAACCTAACTTTTTCGGCTACCTAACCGAACCTAGCCTATAGAGATAGGTTAGGTTAGGTTAGGTAGGGTTGGTTAGGTTCGGTCAAATATCTACGTTAATTTTAATTCCAATAACAAAAAATTGACCTCATACATAATGAAATGGGTAGCTTTATCATTTCATAAGAAAAAAATTAGAGAAAATCTATTAATTCAGGAAAACTTGGCTTATTAAGCAAATCGGGCCTTGCATAGTAGGCTGAGAAGTGCGTTCTGGCTACTAGGTACGACATATATATATATATATATATATATATATATATATATATATATATATATATATATACATATATATGTATACATATATATACATATATACATATATATATATATGTATATATACATATATACATATATATACATATATATATATATATACATATATATATATATATATATATATATATATATATATATATATATATATATATATATATATATATATATATATATATATATATATATATATATATATATATATATATATATATATGTCGTACCTAGTAGCCAGAACGCACTTTTATGCCTACTATGCAAGGCCCGATTTGCCTAATAAGCCAAGTTTTCCTGAATTAATTGTTTTTCGACAACCTAACCTACCTAACCTAACCTAGCCTAACTTTTTCGGCTACCTCACCTAACCTAACCTCTAAAGATAGGTTAGGTTTAGGTTAGGTAGGGTTGGTTAGGTTTGGTCATATATCTACGTTAATTTTAACTCCAATAAAAAAAATTGACCTCATACATAATGAAATGGGTAGCTTTATCATTTCATAAGAAAAAAAATAGAGAAAATATATTAATTCAGGAAAACTTGGCTTATTAGGCAAATCGGGCCTTGCATAGTAGGCATAAAAGTGCGTTCTGGCTACTAGGTACGACATATATATATATATATATATATATATATATATATATATATATATATATATATATATATATATATATATATATATATATATATATATCATGATATATATATATATATATATATATATATATATATATATATATATATATATATATATATATATATAATAAGTATATATATTGTTACATGAAGTAAAGTACCGCAGTTCTACACGGCTGATGTTATGCTCAAGAAGCAAAAAAGTAATAATAATACAATAAAAAGTCACCTAACGTTTGTAATGTTAATATGAGAAACAGGAGTGAAGTAAAAAAAATTTTTTAAACATTACATGTAAATTTAATAATATAATATATAACAAATAAAAAGTCTTTAACACTTATTTCAACTTAATAACTCGGATAGTAAGATAAGGAGAGGTCACATGTATACATTACCTAGCACCACCACTCTTATTGATATGCCCCGACAGTTCCACTGAGAGAGGGAGTGTATACCCTGAAGCGAGTGTCCAGAGTCCACTGCCGGTGAAAGCTCATCTGCCTCATGATAATACCTTGAATAGACACCCGGTGGAGGTGGGGTGATCGCTCCCCAAACACCCGGTGGAGGTGGGGTGATCGCTCCCCAAACACCAGGTGGAGGTGGGGTGATCGCTCCCCAAACACAAGGTGGAGGTGGGGTGATCGCTCCCCAAACACCAGGTGGAGGTGGGGTGATCGCTCCCCAAACACAAGGTGGAGGTGGGGTGATCGCTCCCCAAACACCAGGTGGAGGTGGAGTGATCGCTCCCCAAACACCAGGTGGAGGTGGGGTGATCGCTCCCCAAACACAAGGTGGAGGTGGGGTGATCGCTCCCCAAACACAAGGTGGAGGTGGGGTGATCGCTCCCCAAACACCAGGTGGAGGTGGAGTGATCGCTCCCCAAACACCAGGTGGAGGTGGAGTGATCGCTCCCCAAACACCAGGTGGAGGTGGAGTGATCGCTCCCCAAACACAAGGTGGAGGTGGGGTGATCGCTCCCCAAACACAAGGTGGAGGTGGGGTGATCGCTCCCCAAACACCAGGTGGAGGTGGGGTGATCGCTGGTGCTGGATGGTGTGGATGAGGCGTGGGTCTGCTGCTGGATGGTGTGGGTGAGGCGTGGGTCTGCTGCTGGATGGTGTGGGTGAGGCGTGGGTCTGCTGCTGGATGGTGTGGGTGAGGCGTGGATCTGCTGCTGGATGGTGTGGGTGAGGCGTGGGTCTGCTGCTGGATGGTGTGGGTGAGGCGTGGGTCTGCTGCTGGATGGTGTGGGTGAGGCGTGGGTCTGCTGCTGGATGGTGTGGGTGAGGCGTGGGTCTGCTGCTGGATGGTGTGGGTGAGGCGTGGATCTGCTGCTGGATGGTGTGGGTGAGGCGTGGGTCTGCTGCTGGATGGTGTGGGTGAGGCGTGGGTCTGCTGCTGGATGGTGTGGGTGAGGCGTGGGTCTGCTGCTGGATGGTGTGGGTGAGGCGTGGGTCTGCTGCTGGATGGTGTGGGTGAGGCGTGGGTCTGCTGCTGGATGGTGTGGGTGAGGCGTGGGTCTGCTGCTGGATGGTGTGGGTGAGGCCTGGGTCTGCTGCTGGATGGTGTGGGTGAGGCGTGGATCTGCTGCTGGATGGTGTGGGTGAGGCGTGGGTCTGCGGCTGGATGGTGTGGGTGAGGCGTGGGTCTGCTGCTGGATGGTGTGGGTGAGGCGTGGGTCTGCTGCTGGATGGTGTGGGTGAGGCGTGGGTCTGCTGCTGGATGGTGTGGGTGAGGCGTGGGTCTGCTGCTGGATGGTGTGGGCTACTGCTCGATGCTCTCCATTTTCCAGACCTTAACGTAGTCGACCTTAAGAGCTGCCTCCTCGCTGATGTGCGGCTCACCGTGCTTCCAGCTGGGCAGCCACGACCCACGCTGAGGAGGGAGAGTAAGGTGTCACAGTTAGCAGTACCAAGCAGGTGGAAACTGATGGTAGTGTTGCTACTGTGTAGGGTGAGTGTGTCACAGTTAACAGTACCAAGCAGGTGGATAACATGAGAGTTGGCAGTGTTGCTACTGTGTAGGGTGAGTGTAAGGTGTCACAGTTAACAGTACCAAGCAAGTGGATAATGTAAGAGTTTCAGTGATGCTACTGTGTAGGGTGAGTGTAGGGTGTCACAGTTAACAGTACCAAGGAGGTGAATAATGTGAGTTGGCAGTATTGCTACTGTGTAGGGTGAGTGTGTCACAGTTGCTACTGTATAGGGTAAGTGTGTCACAGTTGCTACTGTGTAGGATTGGTGCAAGGTGTCAGAGTTTATTTATTTATTACACAGAAAACTGTGTAAATATTCTCAAAGGTTACATTTTAATATCTACAAATCATTCTCTCGCCTTGGTTACCCTTTGCATTTCATCAACTGTGCCCACTCTCAAGCTAAACGAAATTTCTTTCATCGTAAACCTGCTTCCAACACTAGTAGCACTGTACTATGCCTTCCCTTCATATCTGAACTCAAAACTTTTACCAATACCTTTCGTCCTCTTGACATTAAACTCGCCTTTCGACAAACTAACACACTTCGTAGCAATCTACTTCACACTGCTCCTCCTGCTTCTAATGCTGCTGGTGTCTACTCTATTTCCTGTTCGTCTTGTCCTCTCCAATACTTTGGCGAAACTGGCCGTACACTGAATGACAGACTTAAAGAACACAAGAGAAGTGTTAAGTCTGCAGACACTAACACTATCCCATTGATTGGTCTTCCTCCAAAATAATCTTTCCTGCCTCTACTCTACACAGACGCCGTCTTGTTGAATCGGCTCTAATACACAATGTACCCAACATGAACTTGAGTCCTGGCTTTGTTGCTGTGGACTCTTCTCCTTCACAGTATATACTCAAATGCTCTAATCTTTCTAACAAACATGACCTAACATAAGCTTACCCCATCCATTTATCTTTCTTTCTCTTTCCTTTTCTTTCTCTCTTTTCGCTTTTTCTGTTCATTGTCTTCTCCTACGCTCCCTTGCTATCCTTTTCTTATTCCTATTACTATCTCTTTCTCATTCGGTGGTTATAATAGGAGCTGCCTCGTATGGGCCAATAGGCCCTCTGCAGTTCTTATTATTACTACTATCCCTTGTACTGCACCTTACTTTGCTCCTCAGCTGTCTCTTGCCTATTTATTGCCTGTCTCTACTTTCTCATCACAATCGGCTTGAGAATGGTCCAGGACGGACCGAAACGTCGTCGTCCCTTCACCTTCTAGTGTGTGGTCTGGTCAACGTTACATACAATTATCAAGCATCATTTCTCAAATAACATCCGTAATTTATACTTCTTTCAATTGTATTCATTATTTAGGTTACCTACAAATACAATTAAAGGCTTCACATTCAACATTTTTCTTGGCATGCGCGAAATCGCCCCCAAGAACTAGAGCGTTCTCGTGATTTGACAAAACATACAAAATACAAGGTATTAACCAAGCCTGGAACACACGGACCCAAGCACCCCACCAAGCCTGTCCAACTATGTATAGAAAACGTGAATTTTGTAATAAATATTTCTTAGTAATTGTGATGTTAATGACAATATTGAACAAAATGGTGAATATTAGTTGCGACGAGGACCTGCAGGAGGAGAAGCAACTCGCTGCGCAGACTTACAGCGTTCCAGAAGTCTCGCGCAGCGTGAGGGGAGGTGTTGCTCCAGGGCTTGACCGGACTGCTCTCCACGTCGTCTGGGAAGTAGCCATTCACGCCCCCGACAGCCAAGTTCATGATCATGTAGAACTGACAAGAGAAAGTCACACGTTTGCATCATTGAAGAAGGTTATCAGCAGCAACCGCGGTTTTGAAAGCTCTACGCAGCACAGAGAACCACAAATGCAAATAAAAATTCTTTATAAAGAAGTTAATAAATAAAATTTCATGTAGATATCTACAAGCAGGTTTACAATGAACACAGAAAAACAAAAGCCTAATATGATAAACAGAAATTAATATTTAAAAAAAACATATAGAGAAATAAACAAAAATATTTAGAAAGACAAATACACTCAGAAAACGCAAGCCTTAATGAAAATATAAAACGATTACAAGGTCATTATGTATATAAGAAAATATTAAATATGGCAACTATTGATGCACTGTTGACCAATACTAGGCTGTATGTGGGACAGTGTTGACCAATACTAGGCTGTATGTGGGACAGTGTTGACCAATACTAGGCTGTATGTGGGACAGTGTTAACCAATACTAGTCTGTATGTGGGACAGTGTTAACCAATACTAGGCTGTATGTGGGACAGTGTTGACCAATACTAGGCTGTATGTGGGACACTGTTGACCAATACTAGGCTGTATGTGGGACAGTGTTGACCAATACTAGGCTGTATGTGGGACAGTGTTGACCAATACTAGGCTGTATGTGGGACAGTGTTGACCAATACTTGTCTGTATGTGGGACAGTGTTGACCAATACTAGGCAGTATGTGGGACAGTGTTGACCAATACTAGGCTGTATGTGGGACAGTGTTGACCAATACTAGGCTGTATGTGGGACAGTGTTGACCAATACTAGTCTGTATGTGGGACAGTGTTGACCAATACTAGGCTGTATGTGGGACAGTGTTGACCAATACTAGTCTGTATGTGGGACAGTGTTGACCAATACTAGGCTGTATGTGGGACAGTGTTGACCAATACTAGGCTGTATGTGGGATAGTGTTGACTAATACTAGGCTGACTGTGGGACAGTGTTGACCAATACTAGTCTGTATGTGGGACAGTGTTGACCAATACTAGTCTGTATGTGGGACAGTGTTGACCAATACTAGTCTGTATGTGGGACAGTGTTGACCAATACTAGTCTGTATGTGGGACAGTGTTGACCAATACTAGGCTGTATGTGGGACAGTGTTGACCAATACTAGGCTGTATGTGGGACAGTGTTGACCAATACTAGGCAGTATGTGGGACAGTGTTGACCAATACTAGTCAGTATGTGGGACAGTGTTGACCAATACTAGGCAGTATGTGGGACAGTGTTGACCAATACTAGTCTGTATGTGGGACAGTGTTGACCAATACCAGGCTGTATGTGGGACAGTGTTGACCAATACTAGGCAGTATGTGGGACAGTGTTGACCAATACTAGGCTGTATGTGGGATAGTGTTGACTAATACTAGGCTGACTGTGGGACAGTGTTGACCAATACTAGTCTGTATGTGGGACAGTGTTGACCAATACTAGGCTGTATGTGGGACAGTGTTGACCAATACTAGGCAGTATGTGGGACAGTGTTGACCAATACTAGTCTGTATGTGGGACAGTGTTGACCAATACTAGGCTGTATGTGGGACAGTGTTGACCAATACTAGGCTGTATGTGGGACAGTGTTGACCAATACTAGGCTGTATGTGGGACAGTGTTGACTAATACTAGGCTGACTGTGGGACAGTGTTGACCAATACTAGTCTGTATGTGGGACAGTGTTGACCAATACTAGGCAGTATGTGGGACAGTGTTGACCAATACTAGGCAGTATGTGGGACAGTGTTGACCAATACTAGGCAGTATGTGGGACAGTGTTGACCAATACTAGGCTGTATGTGGGACAGTGTTGACCAATACTAGTCAGTATGTGAGACAGTGTTGACCAATACTAGTCTGTATGCGGGACAGTGTTGACCAATACTAGGCTGTATGCGGGACAGTGTTGACCAATACTAGGCAGTATGTGGGACAGTGTTGACCAACATGAGGCAGTAAGTGGGACAGTGTTGACCAACATGGGGCAGTAAGTGGGACAGTGTTGACCAACATTTGGCAGTAAGTGGGACAGTGTTGACCAATACTAGGCTGTATGTGGGACAGTGTTGACCAACATGGGGCAGTAAGTGGGACAGTGTTGACCAACATGGGGCAGTAAGTGGGACAGTGTTGACCAACATGAGGCAGTAAGTGGGACAGTGTTGACCAACATGGGGCAGTAAGTGGGACAGTGTTGACCAACATGGGGCAGTAAGTGGGAGAGTGTTGACCAACATGGGGCAGTAAGTGGGAGAGTGTTGACCAACATGGGGCAGTAAGTGGGACAGTGTTTACCAACTTGGGGCAGTAAGTGGGAGAGTGTTGACCAACATGCGGCAGTAAGTGGGAGAGTGTTGACCAACATGGGGCAGTAAGTGGGACAGTGTTGACCAACATGAGGCAGTAAGTGGGAGAGTGTTGACCAACATGGGGCAGTAAGTGGGACAGTGTTGACCAACATGGGGCAGTAAGTGGGAGAGTGTTGACCAACATGGGGGCAGTAAGTGGGAGAGTGTTGACCAACATGGGGCAGTAAGTGGGAGAGTGTTGACCAACATGGGGCAGTAAGTGGGACAGTGTTTACCAACTTGGGGCAGTAAGTGGGAGAGTGTTGACCAACATGGGGCAGTAAGTGGGACAGTGTTGACCAATACTAGTCAGTATGTGGGACAGTGTTGACCAATACTAGGCAGTATGTGGGACAGTGTTGACCAATACTAGTCTGTATGTGGGTCAGTGTTGACCAATACTAGGCTGTATGTGGGACAGTGTTGACCAATACCAGGCTGTATGTGGGACAGTGTTGACCAATACTAGGCTGTATGTGGGACAGTGTTGACCAATACTAGGCAGCATGTGGGACAGTGTTGACCAATAATAGTCAGTATGTGGGACAGTGTTGACCAATACTAGGCAGTATGTGGGACAGTGTTGACCAATACTAGTCTGTATGTGGGACAGTGTTGACCAATACTAGGCTGTATGTGAGACAGTGTTGACCAATACTAGGCAGTATGTGGGACAGTGTTGACCAATACTAGTCTGTATGTGGGACAGTGTTGACCAATACTAGGCTGTATGTGGGACAGTGTTGACCAATACTAGGCTGTATGTGGGACAGTGTTGACCAATACTAGGCTGTATGTGGGACAGTGTTGACCAATACTAGGCAGTATGTGGGACAGTGTTGACCAATACTAGTCAGTATGTGGGACAGTGTTGACCAATACTAGGCAGTATGTGGGACAGTGTTGACCAATACTAGTCTGTATGTGGGACAGTGTTGACCAATACCAGGCTGTATGTGGGACAGTGTTGACCAATACTAGGCAGTATGTGGGACAGTGTTGACCAATACTAGGCTGTATGTGGGATAGTGTTGACTAATACTAGGCTGACTGTGGGACAGTGTTGACCAATACTAGTCTGTATGTGGGACAGTGTTGACCAATACTAGGCTGTATGTGGGACAGTGTTGACCAATACTAGGCAGTATGTGGGACAGTGTTGACCAATACTAGTCTGTATGTGGGACAGTGTTGACCAATACTAGGCTGTATGTGGGACAGTGTTGACCAATACTAGGCTGTATGTGGGACAGTGTTGACTAATACTAGGCTGACTGTGGGACAGTGTTGACCAATACTAGTCTGTATGTGGGACAGTGTTGACCAATACTAGGCAGTATGTGGGACAGTGTTGACCAATACTAGGCAGTATGTGGGACAGTGTTGACCAATACTAGGCTGTATGTGGGACAGTGTTGACCAATACTAGTCAGTATGTGAGACAGTGTTGACCAATACTAGTCTGTATGCGGGACAGTGTTGACCAATACTAGGCTGTATGCGGGACAGTGTTGACCAATACTAGGCAGTATGTGGGACAGTGTTGACCAACATGAGGCAGTAAGTGGGACAGTGTTGACCAACATGGGGCAGTAAGTGGGACAGTGTTGACCAACATTTGGCAGTAAGTGGGACAGTGTTGACCAATACTAGGCTGTATGTGGGACAGTGTTGACCAACATGGGGCAGTAAGTGGGACAGTGTTGACCAACATGGGGCAGTAAGTGGGACAGTGTTGACCAACATGAGGCAGTCAGTGGGACATTGTTGACCAACATGGGGCAGTAAGTGGGACAGTGTTGACCAACATGGGGCAGTAAGTGGGACAGTGTTGACCAACATGAGGCAGTAAGTGGGAGAGTGTTGACCAACATGGGGCAGTAAGTGGGACAGTGTTGACCAACATGGGGCAGTAAGTGGGAGAGTGTTGACCAACATGGGGGCAGTAAGTGAGAGAGTGTTGACCAACATGGGGCAGTAAGTGGGAGAGTGTTGACCAACATGGGGCAGTAAGTGGGACAGTGTTTACCAACTTGGGGCAGTAAGTGGGAGAGTGTTGACCAACATGCGGCAGTAAGTGGGAGAGTGTTGACCAACATGGGGCAGTAAGTGGGAGAGTGTTGACCAACATGGGGCAGTAAGTGCGAGAGTGTTGACCAACATGGGGCAGTAAGGTCGAGAGTGTTGACCAACATGGGGCAGTAAATGCGAGAGTGTTGACCAACATGGGGCAGTAAGTGGGAGAGTGTTGACCAACATGGGGCAGTAAGTGCGAGAGTGTTGACCAACATGGGGCAGTAAGTGCGAGAATGTTGACCAACATGGGGCAGTAAGTGCGAGAGTGTTGACCAACATGGGGCAGTAAGTGAGAGAGTGTTGACCAACATGGGACAGTAAGTGGGACAGTGTTGACCAACATGGGGCAGTAAGTGGGAGAGTGTTGACCAACATGGGGCAGTAAGTGGGAGAGTGTTGACCAACATGGGACAGTAAGTGGGACAGTGTTGACCAACATGAGGTAGTTAGTGGGACAGTGTTGACCAACATGGGGCAGTAAGTGGGAGAGTGTTGACCAACATGGGGCAGTAAGTGGGAGAGTGTTGACCAGCATGAAGCAGTAAGTGGGAGAGTGTTGACCAACATGGGGCAGTAAGTGGAAGAGTGTTGACCAACATGGAGCAGTAAGTGTGAGAGTGTTGACCAACATGGGGCAGTAAGTGGGACAGTGTTTACCAACTTGGGGCAGTAAGTGGGAGAGTGTTGACCAACATGCGGCAGTAAGTGGGAGAGTGTTGACCAACATGGGGCAGTAAGTGGGAGAGTGTTGACCAACATGAAGCAGTAAGTGGGAGAGTGTTGACCAACATGGGGGCAGTAAGTGGGAGAGTGTTGACCAACATGGGGCAGTAAGTGGGAGAGCGTTGACCAACATGGGGCAGTGGGACAGTGTTTACCAACTTGGGGCAGTAAGTGGGAGAGTGTTGACCAACATGCGGCAGTAAGTGGGAGAGTGTTGACCAACATGGGGCAGTATGTGGGAGAGTGTTGACCAACATGAAGCAGTAAATGGGAGAGTGTTGACCAACATGGGGGCAGTAAGTGGGAGAGTGTTGACCAACATGGGGCAGTAAGTGGGAGAGTGTTGACCAACATAGGGCAGTAATTGGGACAGTGTTTACCAACTTTGGGCAGTAAGTGGGAGAGTGTTGACCAACATGCGGCAGTAAGTGGGAGAGTGTTGACCAACATGGGGCAGTAAGTGGGAGAGTGTTGACCAACATGGGGCAGTAAGTGCGAGAGTGTTGACCAACATGTTACAGTAAGTGCGAGAGTGTTGACCAACATGGGGCAGTAAGTGCGAGAGTGTTGACCAACATGGGGCAGTAAGTGCGAGAGTGTTGACCAACATGGGGCAGTAAGTGCGAGAGTGTTGACCAACATGGGGCAGTAAGTGCGAGAATGTTGACCAACATGGGGCAGTAAGTGCGAGAGTGTTGACCAACATGGGGCAGTAAGTGGGAGAGTGTTGACCAACATGGGACAGTAAGTGGGACAGTGTTGACCAACATGGGGCAGTAAGTGGGAGAGTGTTGACCAACATGGGGCAGTAAGTGGGAGAGTGTTGACCAACATGGGACAGTAAGTGGGACAGTGTTGACCAACATGAGGTAGTAAGTGGGACAGTGTTGACCAACATGGGGCAGTAAGTGGGAGAGTGTTGACCAACATGGGGCAGTAAGTGGGAGAGTGTTGACCAACATGAAGCAGTAAGTGGGAGAGTGTTGACCAACATGGGGCAGTAAGTGGAAGAGTGTTGACCAACATGGGGCAGTAAGTGTGAGAGTGTTGACCAACATGGGGCAGTAAGTGGGACAGTGTTGACCAACATGAGGCAGCAAGTGGGACAGTGTTAACCAACATGAGGCAGTAAGTGGGACAGTGTTAACCAACATGAGGCAGTAAGTGGGACAGTGTTGACCAACATGAGGCAGTAAGTGGGACAGTGTTAACCAACATGAGGCAGTAAGTGGGACAGTGTTGACCAACATGAGGCAGTAAGTGGGACAGTGTTGTCCAACATGAGGCAGTAAGTGGGACAGTGTTGACCAACATGAGGCAGTAAGTGGGACAGTGTTAACCAACATGAGGCAGTAAGTGGGACAGTGTTAACCAACATGAGGCAGTAAGTGGGACAGTGTTGACCAACATGAGGCAGTAAGTGGGACAGTGTTAACCAACATGAGGCAGTAAGTGGGACAGTGTTGACCAACATGAGGCAGTAAGTGGGACAGTGTTAACCAACATGAGGCAGTAAGTGGGACAGTGTTGACCAACATGAGGCAGTAAGTGGGACAGTGTTGACCAACATGAGGCAGTAAGTGGGACAGTGTTAACCAACATGAGGCAGTAAGTGGGACAGTGTTGACCAACATGAGGCAGTAAGTGGGACAGTGTTGACCAACATGAGGCAGTAAGTGGGACAGTGTTAACCAACATGAGGCAGTAAGTGGGACAGTGTTGACCAACATGAGAACTTGAGTCAAAAACGAGCACAGAAAGAATATGTTCACGTTAATATAATAAGAGCATCAATGCCCACCTTCTGGTCAAAAGGAGCCATCTTGCCGCCAGCCTTCCATGGGTTGTCCTGGGAGCTGCCCAGCCCGCCCAAGTCCCAGAAGTTGGTGCCCGGGTCTACTGTCAACGTCAGCTCCTCATCCACATAGAACCTGTAGCAACTTCACCTCTATACTCTGCACACTCCAGGGATTATGGGCTATTCATGCCCGTGCCACCTCTTGTGGCTTAATATTAATCAGTCGCTCCAGGGTCCAGGCCATGTGTGTTTTTGTGCACATTATTTCGTGTTCTTTGTTCTATATTACGTCTACATATATATATGAGAAGTTGGAAGAATAATCACAAAATACACGTGATTCTTTTTTTTTTTTTTTTGAGATATATACAAGAGTTGTTACATTCATGAACAGCCACTAGTACGCGTAGCGTTTCGGGCAGGTCCCTGGAATACGATCCCCTGCCGCGAAAAATCGTTTCGAAGAAACGATTTGAAGAAACCGAAGAATTCGGTTTTCTTAAGGTTCCACTAGGAAAATGAAACGAAAACCGTTCGGAATTTTCGCTTCATTTTTCTAGTGGATACTTAGGGATAAAAGCAGCTGTTATAACACAACTCCACACGCAGATAAAGATATCTTAATACACAAGTTATCTACAGCTATAGACACACTACTTTTCCGGTACAATACTTCTACACACGACTGCATTCCGGTATACAGGTTAGGGTCACCGTCAACCAGTAAGGGAGCGTGAACCAGTAAGGGAGCGTGAACCAGTAGGGGAGCGTGAACCAGTAAGGGAGCGTGAACCAGTAAGGGAGCGTGAACCAGTAAGGGAGCGTAAACCAGTAAGGGAGCGTGAACCAGTAAGTGAGCGTGAACCAGTAAGGGAGCGTGAACCAGTAAGTGAGCGTGAACCAGTAAGGGAGCGTGAACCAGTAAGTGAGCGAGAACCAGTAAGGGAGCGTGAACCAGTAAGGGAGCGTGAACCAGTAGGGGAGCGTGAACCAGTAAGGGAGCGTGAACCAGTAAGGGAGCGTGAACCAGTAGGGGAGCGTGAACCAGTAAGAGAGCGTGAACCAGTAGGGGAGCGTGAACCAGTAAGGGAGCGTGAACCAGTAAGGGAGCGTGAACCAGTAAGTGAGCGTGAACCAGTAAGGGAGCGTGAACCAGTAGGGGAGCGTGAAACAGTAAGGGAGCGTGAACCAGTAGGGGAGCGTGAACCAGTAAGGGAGCGTGAACCAGTAAGGGAGCATGAACCAGTAGGGGAGCGTGAACCAGTAAGGGAGCGTAAACCAGTAAGGGAGCGTGAACCAGTAAGTGAGCGTGAACCAGTAAGGGAGCGTGAACCAGTAAGGGAGCGTGAACCAGTAAGGGAGCGTGAACCAGTAGGGGAGCGTGAACCAGTAAGGGAGCGTGAACCAGTAAGGGAGCGTGAACCAGTAAGGGAGCGTTAACCAGTAAGGGAGCGTGAACCAGTAAGTGAGCGTGAACCAGTAAGGGAGCGTGAACCAGTAAGTGAGCGTGAACCAGTAAGGGAGCGTGAACCAGTAAGTGAGCGAGAACCAGTAAGGGAGCGTGAACCAGTAAGGGAGCGTGAACCAGTAGGGGAGCGTGAACCAGTAAGGGAGCGTGAACCAGTAAGGGAGCGTGAACCAGTAGGGGAGCGTGAACCAGTAAGGGAGCGTGAACCAGTAGGGGAGCGTGAACCAGTAAGGGAGCGTGAACCAGTAAGGGAGCCTGAACCAGTAAGTGAGCGTGAACCAGTAAGGGAGCGTGAACCAGTAGGGGAGCGTGAAACAGTAAGGGAGCGTGAACCAGTAGGGGAGCGTGAACCAGTAAGGGAGCGTGAACCAGTAAGGGAGCATGAACCAGTAGGGGAGCGTGAACCAGTAAGGGAGCGTAAACCAGTAAGGGAGCGTGAACCAGTAAGTGAGTGTGAACCAGTAAGGGAGCGTGAACCAGTAAGTGAGCGTGAACCAGTAAGGGAGCGTGAACCAGTAAGTGAGCGAGAACCAGTAAGGGAGCGTGAACCAGTAAGGGAGCGTGAACCAGTAGGGGAGCGTGAACCAGTAAGGGAGCGTGAACCAGTAGGGGAGCGTGAACCAGTAAGGGAGCGTGAACCAGTAAGGGAGCGTGAACCAGTAAGTGAGCGTGAACCAGTAAGGGAGCGTGAACCAGTAGGGGAGCGTGAAACAGTAAGGGAGCGTGAACCAGTAGGGGAGCGTGAACCAGTAAGGGAGCGTGAACCAGTAAGGGAGCGTGAACCAGTAGGGAGCGTGAACCAGTAGGGGAGCGTGAACCAGTAAGGGAGCGTGAACCAGTAGGGAGCGTGAACCAGTAAGGTAGCGTGAACCAGTAGGGAGCGTGAAATAGTAAGGGAGCATGAACCTGTAAGGGAGCGTAAACCAGTAAGGGAGCGTGAACCAGTAAGGGAGCGTGAACCAGTAAGGGAGCGTGAACCAGTAAGGGAGCGTGAACCAGTAAGGGAGCGTGAGTAGTGTGGAGTAAGACTCACAGGGGATTTTTTTTTCAGGAGGAAAAAATCCCCTGTGAGACTCAAGGTTTTCAGGTAAATTTAGAAAATCCCCTGTGGATCTTCGGGGGTTTCAGGTGAATTTGGGGAGTCACAGATTTGGGATTAAGGATTTCTTATGAGCGAGTAATTTCTGAGATTTTAGAAGTTTGTTAAGGTTTCTTATGATGAAAATAAGTATGAAAATGTTAATGAAAAATTCAGGAAAAAATCCCCTTTAGGACACAGCATTTCCAGGTATACTCTACGGACAACCTTTGCCCGTTTTCAATCACACATTTTTCAAAGAGCATTTTCAGAGAATATTGTCTTAGACGTTTTGTTAAGGAAAACAGACATCTTAGCCATAACATTTTGTTTTATATCCATTTACGGCTATTTCACCTGTAATGACCAAAATTGAACTGAGCCCAGTTATAGACAGAATTTCGTCAGAGTCCATTTTATACCTAAAATGAACAGAGTCCACTTTGTGAGCAAAATTAGTCAGACACAGTTTTAAGCTCAAATTTCATCAGAGTCCAATTATCAACAGAAATTCGTCAGAGTCCAGTTTTAAGCTCAAATTTCATCAGAGTCCAATTATCAACAGAAATTCGCCAGAGTCCAGTTTTCTAGCAAAATTAGTCAGAGACAGTTTTAAGCTCAAATTTCATCTGAGTCCAATTATCAACAGAAATTCGTCAGAGTCCAATTAACGACAGAAATTTGATAGAGTCCATTTTCTACCCAATTTTCATCAGAGTCCAGTTCATGATCGAAATTAATCGGAGTCCAATTGAAGACCCAAATTTGACAGAGACCACATTTTTCTACTAGCAGTCCAATCCCCCTGAAATTTTAAACAGTCATATTTCAGTCATAGTAAATGAGATCAAGTCAGTTACTGAGCTCCAACTCTCATCCCCCACCCTACTCCACCCTCAAGTCTTTGTTAATATCCTATCAATTCCCCTGAAATTTTTACCCTCTGTATTTCAGACACCGTAAATAAGATCAAAACAGTTATCGAGCTCCAGCTCTCATCCCCCCACCTTACTTCCCTCTCGTGTCTTCGGTATTATCCAATCAAATTCCCTGAAATTTCTACCCGCTGTATTTCAGACGTAGTTTAGTAAATCCAAACAATTATCAAACTCTAGCTCTTGTCCCCCAGCTTAGTTCATTTGTACAAGATCGTTAGTAACAGACCAATTTTCCCCAAAATTTAAAGCAGACATACTTCAAAGTTAGTAAATAAGATCAAGTCAGTTACTGAGCTCCAGCTCTCGTCCCCCTCCCTTCTTTCCCCTCAAGTCTTTGTTAATATCCTATCAATTCCCCTGAAATTTTTACCCGCTGTATTTCAGACACCGTAAATAAGATCAAAAACAGTTAACGAGCTGCAGCTCTCGTCCCCACTTTAGTTCTCTCTCGTATCTTTGTAAATAACCTATCAATTTCCCAGAAATTTTACCCTCTGTATTTCAGACATAGTAAATATGATGTAAACAATTATCAAACTCTAGCTCTTGTCCTCTGTCCAAGTTCACTCCTGTAAATTCATTACTATCAGTCAAAATCCCCCTGAGATTTAAACACCCAACTACATTTTTAGACAGTAAATAAAAGCCAGTTCAGTTATTAAGTTTCAACTCTTGTCCCCCAGCTTAGTTCATTTTGTACAAGTTCTTTATTTTCCAACTAAATCACCTGAGATTTAAGATCACCTTATTTCTAACGTAGTAAAATTAATTCAGGGCATTAGCCAAGCTCCATTTCCTCTGTCTTAGATCATCGAACATAATTATATCCGATCAAGTCCCTCTCCAGCCTATCTCTTTATCAGAGTAATCACCTTACCCTTTCCCTCCCTTACCTTCTCATCCCCAACGTATCCAAACCTTCAATAATCATACTGTATTTGCATATTTTCTCTATATTCAGCTGTGTTCTTCACATTTTTTCCATGTTTTCTGTGTTCACTCCATGTTCTACAAATATTCACAGCATGCTCAGTTCAAATTTTTTCTATCATTTTCCCTATATGTTCACTATGTTCTTTGTCATGTTTTCATGTACATCATAAGTTCTCTGTATAACTTTTATACTCAATATTCATGTTCTCAATGTTCTTAGCTTGTTCTTCACATGTTCAGTGTTCATTCTTTGTATTCCCTATGTTCCTTATCATGTCTTCATATTCTCTATAAGTTCATATTCCCTGCATGTTCACTCTATTCATCAACTTTTTTCTTACATGTTTTCTGTGTTCACCGTATGTTCACTGTGTTCATTCCCCTACTTAACCTCAATTTTTTTATGTTCTTTGTTTCTTTAAACCAATTTGTTTCTTCCATTCACTAATTAGTTCTTTGTCAAATAATATTATACTGCAATACAGTTCCCTCAACAATTTTAGTCACCCAGTTTTTATTTGCAAAACTATGTCAAAGTAATTCTCGTAGTCAACTTAATAGTTCTACCAACCCTGTTCTTAAACAAATCTACACTTTATTCAGTTCCAAATTTACAAAGACAAACCTTTCTTGTAACTTCTTAACTAAAAATTACTTGTCAATCAACTAAAACATAGTCACTTTCGTCATTCTCAACTAAACTTATTATCCAATCAACCAAAATAGTCAGGATTAATCTCATTCAACACCGTTCTTAACTAAAACAACCTTTCTCTTAGCTAAAAATTGTCAAAGGAATCTTTCCAACACTGTTCATAACTAACTTTATCCATCGTCATTCAACTAAAAATAATAACTTTCATCATTTCCTAACTAAACTTATTCCATAGTCAACAGAAAATAACCATGTTCATCATGTTTCATTGTCATTTCTTATCTAAAAAATTATCTGCCAATCATCAGAAAAGTCATGTTCATCATGTTTTGTCTTTTGCTTAACTAAAAGTATTCATCAGTCAACTAAAAAATAGTTACTTCATCATGTTTCCCTGTCATTTCTTAACTGAAATATCACTTCTCTCATCTGAAAAATAGTCATGTGTAGCCTCTTTCCAACACTGTTCTTAATTAAAGTAACCTTTCACTTCGCTAAAATAGTCATATTCATCATTGTTCCTAACTAAAATTATGTCGTTAAGTAAGAAATATAGTCAAAGACACTCTTCGAGACATCAAGGACTTACTCAAAGACATCAAAATTGCACTCAAAGACATCCTTTGAGACATCAAAGACATCCTTTAAGACATCAAAGTTATTCTCAGATACATAAAAGCTATTCTCAGAGATATAAAAGTTATTCTCAGAGACATGAAAGTTATTCTCAGAGGCATAAAAGTTATTCTCTAAGTAACCTTTCTTTCGTCAGAGAAACTTTCTAAGACATCTTCGTTCATTAAAGTTAATCTCAGAGGCATAAAAGTCATTCTCAGAGCTATCAAACTTGTTCTCAAAGTCATCAAAGTTATTCCAAGAGACGTCAAAGTTAATCTAAGACATCATCTTTCATCAAAGATATTCTCTCTAAGCCATCAATGTTCTTCTCTAAGACATAAAAAGTTATTCTCTATGTCATCAAAAAGTTATTCTCTGAGCTAACAAAATACTACTCATGTTCTCAAAGACATTCTCAAAGTCATCAAAGTTATTCTAAGAGCTAACAAAAGTTATTCTCAGAGTCACCTTCGTTCTTCAGAGAAACTTTCCAAAACATCTTTGTTCATCAAAGTTATTATCGGAGTCATCAAAAGGTATTCTCTAACTCACTTGTGTTCATTAAAGTTATTTTCTATGTTATAAAAGTTATTCTCAGAGACATCTAAAGTTAATCTTGCTCATCAAAGTTGTTCTCTAAGACATCAATGTTGTTCTCTAAGACATCAAAGATGTTCTCTAAATCATAAAAGTTAATCTCTAAGTCACCTTCGTTCATTAGAGAAACTTTCCAATCCATCTTCGTTGATCAAAGTTATTCTCAGAGTCATCAAAGTTATCTCTATTTCACCTTCGTTCCCCAAAAAAGTTGTTCTTTAAGACTCCTTCGTTCATCAAAGAAACTCTCCTTCTTCCATCATGTTATTCTTTAAGACATCTTCAGTCATAAAATTTCTCTCCAAAATGTAACTAGTTCAGCTTTTCATACCAAACCTGCACTTCTGTTAAAATATATTTTCTGAGTCACTTTACCCTAAAACTGTTCTCTGAACTACACTGTTCAAACCTACGTAACCTATCCTCTCCACCCAATGTTACTTAGTTAACGTAACGTTCCTAAACCTAACTTTACCTATCCTAACTTAACTTACCTTAACCTATCTTACCTAACTTAACCTGCATAACCTAACTTTACCTATCCTAACATAACTTACCTTACCTTACCTATCTTACCTAACTTACCTAACTTAACCTAACTTATCCTGCTTAACCTAACTTACCTACCTTACCTAACTTATCCTGCTTAACCTAACTTACCTAACTTACCTAACTTAACCTGCTTAACCTAACTTACATAACTTAACCTAACCTAACCTGCTTAACCTAACTTACCTTACCTTACCTATCTTACCTAACTTACCTAACTTACCTAACTTAACCTAACTTATCCTGCTTAACCTAACTTACCTAACTTAACCTGCTTTGCCTAACTTACGTAATTTATCTTACCTAAAGTAAAAGAAGGAAAGAAAGTTAAGTGGGATGGTGGGTTTGGGTAAAAATATACAAAGGAGAAACAAAACTACATCTGAAAGGTTATGAAAA